CGACGGGCCCCCGCACGCATTGCCGGCGTAGAGGGGTTCAGGGAGGTTCCCGGCTAAAACCGGGGAGCCGCCTAGGGCCCCGGAACTGCCGCCACCGCCCGACTTGGTTCCTGGGAGGCCCTCGTGGAGTGAGGCCAAAGGGTAGGGTGGCTCCGGCCCTGGCCAGGGCTCGGGGTCCCCTTTGGCGCCGTTGAGGAATGAGGCGTCGCTGTACCCGCCCAGGGCCGGACGCTCGTAGGGAGAGTCCAAGACCCCAGAGTATTTCTCTGCATAGCGCTTTAGGAGGTTGGAGGCAGTGAGGGCGGAGATGTCGTCGTGTGCCCAAGCGTAGTGGCAGCGTTGGCGACCCCCAGGGGGCAACTCCAACTTGTGGGCCGGCGACGGGGTGGTGGAGGAGACATCCAGGTGCTGCTCTGGCCACTGGTTGAGGGGCTGGGCGTGTTCCGGTGTCCAGTGCATCTTCAACAGAGCTGCGGGCAAGAAATAGGAGGGCTGGTGAGATCTGGCCACCGAGGACCCAGCGGGCCACTGCTAGCCATAGACAGTCCTCCTAGACTGCGGCTTGGACAGGCTGGGCTTCCGGCATCCACCACCTACGCCCCACTGTCCTGGGGCCCTCCCTCCAGGCACCAAATAAACTCCTTATGTCTCAGGATTAAAGTTGTCTGAAAATGTTTTCCTCAGCGCCCAAAGGGGTCTGGAAACGATGTGGCTTGCCCTCACTTCACCTTGTAGGCAATGGTCATTATTTTTGTCCTGGCCACTCCAGCCATGTCCTCTGTAGGACACGTGATCCTTACTTTCTAATGAAGGATGGGACAATGGGTGGGACACCCCAGCCCTCGGAATAGTCACATTCAAGTGAAGCTCGCTCGGTAAGAGATGTTTGTCACCCACCATGTGCTGGCCACTACAGAGGCACCGGGGTTACCTAAAGAGATTTATGAGGCCTGCCCAGAGTCCGCGGCCTAGTGACCCAGAAGTTTGTTATTCCTAAGTGCTCTGTTCACCTCAGCCTTTCCTGAGATTCCAAGGCCCCTTCTGGGCCTGAGGTCAGAGATGCTGTCGTGTGTGGCACTGCCTTATCCATGGGAAACCTCAGTGGCTGACCCAGAGCATTCATTTCCTTCCCACTTGGTTTTGGCTTCTGCTTGATGAAGTGAGAGCACGTGGATCCCAGACCCAGCTGCATGTAATGGCTGTGTGCCTGGGGCAGGTGCTGCTACCTGCTTTATTCCCAATAGGTCTCACCACAGTACAAAAATATATAGAACAAATAGGTCATATGCTGGAGAAAACGGGGGAAAGTTATTACACAACAATGCACATCATAGGATGTGGACCATAAATTTGTCTCTGAGCTTCCCAGTAGCCAAATAGGGAGAGGTAATCAGACTCACTGCAAAGTAAAAAAAAACACCATTACTCAAAGCAAAAGTGTTCCTGTCTTAGAGATCATAGAACTTTTTTTCGTAGTCCTCAGGAAAACCTGTGAGATGTAATAAACAATGCCCTTCTTGCCATCCATGCTGTAAACACAGCAGAGATGTTCCATGGCTGTTCCTGACACTGTCCCTTAGCACCTCCCAGCATGAGCCAAACACTCTGTTAAAGGGGATCCGGGGCTTGCGGAATGGCTCTACCCAGGCACAGGGCTCCTGTGGGCCAGCCTGATAAAATATCTCAAAGACTAAGAGGCCCATGGCACACCCAGTGACAGCTGATGCCGATGATGATTTCTCAAAACTAAGCTTCTGATAAGTTTCTTAGCAGGTTCACATATTCTCATAAGTTCAGTATTCTTTCTTTAATGGATTTTTATGGAGCAAATCCCAAATGTTTTGCTAGGCATGGGGGAAGATTGAAAGGTGAACAGGATGGTTCAGCCAGGTAGAGAAGACAGGTAGGTAGACAATGGCCTCTGTGAAGTGAGAAAATAGAGGTATGTGCCAACGGCACTGGGGCTCAGGGCAACTTCCCAAGGAGGTGGTGCCTTTGCTGGACCATGAAAAGTGAGGGATCAAGTCGACCAGACAGGCTAAAGTGAGCAGGGCATCCCAGATCCCAAGAACAGCACCTTCAAAGGTGCAGGGTGCAGTGCCTTCAGAAAGCCAGGGCTGTGCTAGCTCACGTGCCATATTCCCTTCCTCAAGGCACTTTACTGCCACCTTCTGGAAAGCTCATAAATTTAGTGTCTGCTGCACTAGAATTGTGAATTGTGCCCTGTTGGAAGTAAAGCTGTTGTGCACAACCTACATAACCATACACTTCGAGTCCGTAGAGAACACCAAGAAATGTTGGGTCACTAGAGCTTTGAAAGTGGGTGTATATAGTAGAAGAGGAAGGTGAAGATAACCACAGCTGGCCTTCCTAGCAGCAGCTTGTTGACAGCACCCCACCCCTGTTGATGCTGTTTACTTAATGTGGCTGTGACTGACATCAATGGGAGAAGACATTTGAAAATAAAGCTATTTACTATCATCCCCACTGCCCTAGGGAAGGCATGAGCCATAGAAGTATAGCTTAAAAAAGAAGGTAAGTGAGTTCTCAAGGTTGTCCTGCCCCCATTTGAGAGGTGATGCTGGCCGCTGGGCAGAAGGGAGAACAGAGACTAACAGAGCTGAGTGTGAGGTCCTTGGGGGCAGATATGCAGCCCTCCAGCTCTTGCTGAGAAGTATCTCCAAAGATCAGAGGCATTACCTCGTATAAAAGAGGGTAATTTCCTGGAACATCAAAAATCACAAATTGTTCTGGCTGCAGAGTCTTAGGAGGTAACATCAAAGTTATTGGCTGGGCTCAGTGGCTCATGCCTGTAATCCCAGCACTTTGGGAGGCCGAGGCTGATGGATCCCCTGAGGTCAGAAGTTGAAGACCAGCCTGGCCAACATGGTGAAACCCCATCTGTACTAAAAATACAAAAATTAGCCGGGTGTAATGGTGGGCACCTGTAATCCCAGCTACTCAGGATGCTGAGGCAGGAGAATCTACTGAACCCGGGAGGCAGAGGTTGCAGTAGATGGCACCACTGCACTCCAGCTTGGGCGACAAGGGCGAGACTCTGCCTCAAAATGAACAAAAGTTACACAAATGCAAGTATTGTGTAAATCTGGTTTTGTTTTTTTTTTTCTATTCACTATTTTCTGTGCCTTGTTTCCTTACTTAATATGGAAAGAGAGATTTGACCTTGATAGCATTTACCCTGAGCATATTAAACTGGACAAGCTGGGGAAAGAGTGACATCCTCCCCACCAAGGGCACAGACACCATGAAGAAGGCTCAGATCTGGACTTGTCCACACACATCTCCTTTGCCACTGCCAGCCCCTGTGCTCCTAAAGCTATCAGTGATGCCCCTCATTCCCTAGACTTTTGGACCAGGCTCCCTCTCACCAGCCCCTGGCCTGGCCTTCAGCAATCCTCACTGAAACCTCCACCCGCCAGTGAAGATCCTCTGGCCCTGGCCATCACTGAGAACTGCTCCACCTTGGAAACTGGACTCCAGTAAGCCACCTCCAATCCTCCACCCCATCCTCCCAGCTTCATACCCACAATGTCTCCTCTACTCCACGGCTCAGCCCCTCTCGCCCTTCCAGAGAGGGGACCTTGTCCGTGACACTTACCTAGACCACCTGATCTCTATCCTCAATCTTCAGATACTGGCCCTTCCACTCCAGGTAAATTTCCTCCCATTTTAGCCAGGGCAAAAAATGAAGTCATTGGGTAAATCTCCCTTACCTCTAGCCCTCTTTTTATGTTTATCTACATCTGTATCCATCTTGCACCCAGAAGGCCTCAGGGTCCCTCTGCCCCAGTGCTTGGCCCCATCAATTATCCCTCCTAGGTACTGGGTCCCTCCCCACAGTCAGCTTAATTCGTTCTCATCTTCAAAATGACCTCTCTTGACCATGGGTTCCCCACTAGCTACCAGCTCATCCCTTTTTCCCTTCTTCATCCTTCTTTAAGGCATCATTGTCTACATGCAGTGACATGGCATCTGCTAGAGATCCTTTCAGTAATCTAACAGGGGGCCAGGTATGGTGGCTTACGCCTGTAATCCCAGCACTTTTCAAGGCTGAGGCGGGTGGATCACCTGAGGTCAGGAGTTCAAGACCAGCCTAGCCAACATAGTGACACCGCATCTCTACTAAAAAGAAAAAAAAAAAAATTAGCCAGGCGTGGTGGCAGGCGCCTGTAATCCCAGCTACTTGGGAGGCTGAGGCAGGAGAATCACTTGAACCTGGGAGGTAGAGGTTGCAATGAGCTGAGATTGTGCCATTGCACTCCAGCCTGGGTGAGAAGAGCGAAACTCCAATTCAAAAAAAAATATATATATATATATATACACACACACACACATATATATATATATATATACACACACACACACACACATATATATATATCTCCGGGAAGCAGGGCACCAGGTCAGCAACTTCTGCTAAACTTAGTTCCGTAGTGCTACATTTTCCTTTAACCCCTTCCTAGAGAAAGAACTCAGCTGCCCAAGGACCAGCCCCAACCTAAGGGCAGGAAGAGGGCAGAAGTTTGAGAACAGTGGGTAAGGTTGCCTTACCTGCACACAGGCTCAGAATGATGTCTCACGTGAGTCTGAATACACACCAGCATGCATGTGCACACCACCAGGGATGTGTACAGATGTGTGCAGCTACAGGCACATGTGCATATGTTCATGCCTGTGCCTGGCACACGCATGTTTAAAGTGCGATCTCACTTAGATGCTTCCTGACAGACCCAGGCCTGCCAGGCCTTGCCTTCCTCCCCTCGCCCACTATAGGTGGAAAATGCTGCCTCCCTGCCCTCGCCCCCCAGGCCAGTTACAGCCCTCTTGCTGTGACACAGAGATCCTGGGCTGGCTACTGAAAAGTAAAACTTTTAGGCCCTCCCCGTAAATGGTTCTGTTTGTTCGTAGCGCAGGCAGAGTTTGTTGCAAGGCTTGATGTAAGACTTGTTACTGAATGATTAACTGCCTTTGTTCTGCTTCTGTAAAACTGCTTTCCCGCCCATTGAATTGTAAAACAGGCCCTGCCTCGGCCGGAAATTCCAAACCAGTATGTCAAAGGTGGCGGGGCCCGGTCGCTGCAACCCAGACCCAAGGTTGCATCAGCAGAGGAAAACTGCATTCCCCAGACCTCCCCGGGGCTAGTACCCATCCCACCCCTTTGCGTCGCCAAATAGAAAAAGACACCTGGCCTCGAAGTTACGAAGGAGGCCAATCAATGGCCCGTATGCAAATAAAGCCTAAACGCTATAAAAGAGATGTATCGCCACAAGTCGGGGCTCTCCTCTCTCTCTCTCTCTCTCCCTCATTCCTTTGAGGTGGGAGGGCCCTGGTGCACCAGTAAACGACTTTCTGCCGAAATTTGTGTGTTGGATGGTTCCTCGCGCCGACTCTCAAACCCTAAGGAACGTGGTTCTAACACTACCAGTATGCCTCCCGCAGGAGCCTCAGGAAGGATCTCCCCAGGACGGGGACCCCCTGTCTCCTGTCCAGGTTCACAAGTCACACTCCAGTGATCAGTGCTGCTGGAGGGGAGGAAAGGCCTTGAGGACATGGGGAAAGTATAGGCTTTGAGTCCCAGAGACCTAATTTGAATCCAGTCCCAGACACACACTGTGTGACCCTGGGCAAGTTGTCTGACCTCAGTGAAGCTCAATTTCCCCATTTGTATTTGTATTTTTTTTTTTTGAAGTAGAGACAGGGTTTTGCCATGTTGGCCAGGCTGGTCTCAAACTCCTCAAGTGATCTGTCTGCCTCAGCCTCCCAAAGTGCTGGGATTACAGGGTGAGCCACTGTGCCCAGCCAATTTCTCCGTTTGTTAAAGGGCATAACATATGTCATTCTGAGTGGCTGTGAGGATTTAAAGATAATGTATATAATGGACACAGTCCAGTGTGGGGCACAGATTACAAATTCAGAACCCAAGCAGTGCTTCAACCTTGCTGAGTGAACTAAACAAGTAACTTCTCCTTGGGCCGGGGGAAACTTGGTGAATGTTCTGTGAAAAGAGGTTCCTTCCAGTTCTAATGTGATGGGCCAGTAGCTCACGCCATTTCCCCAAAACCCAGGCAATAGGTACAGAACCTGTTCTATGTTTTACATCTCTAATGCAGCCCTCCTACCAGCTCTGAGATCAATACTGTTATTGTCATCCCCAGTCTACAGATGAGGAGACTGAGGTACAGAGATTAACGCATCTTCAGGGTCACATGGCTGTTACAGAGTGGAGATAGGACTCAAAGCCCAGGCCCTGAACCACCTGCCTACAAGGGCTCTCTGGCCCAGCCCTTTGTTCTGACAGCCAGAGAAGAGCCTGAGGCCATTCCACACTGCACACCTACACTCACCAACACTCACTTCCTGGGCCTGTGGAAACAGTGGCTGCGCCCCCAAGTGCTGTGTATTTACCTTGCAGACCAGACAGGAGAATTTGTGTCCTCTCCCCGTAAAACGCCCAAGTAGAGCCTCTCTTTCCCTGTGAAAGGCCATCAGATAACCAGACACACCCCTGGGCTGGGCACAAAGTTCCTTATTTGGGTTTTGTGGCTTTCTCAGGTGGTAGCTGGGACTCTGCACAGAGAAAACACTCTCTCTCTGAAACTGCCCGGTTTGGGGAGCACAGTCTTGTTCCTGAGGCAACTGTTTCTCTGCAGACCTTGAAGGTGAAGCGCTGCTGTGCACATAGGAAGCTGAAACCCCGCTTGACTCTACCAACAGGACGCAGTCCTTCAAACTCACAGGCAATCAATAGTTACAGAAAGAATTACTGGATGGGAGAGTAAAGTCATTCCTAAAACCCCTCCCCTCATTTTTAGGGAGTCTTACAAGGTTCATGAGAGATGATTCAGCCTTCACAGCCGGCCAGAACACTCAGGCACCGATCTTCCCTGTGGTCCTGCTGCCCACGGGTCCTGTGGGTGCCTCTCCCATCCCTGAGGACCGCAAGCTCTCCATGCACAGGACCCGATGCAGGCAGTAGGTATCCCCCCAGCCCACCCTGGCTTCCTGGGGCAGCAAACACCCTGAGCTGTCACTCTCTGATCATGGCCAAGACACTTAACCTCACTAAGCTCCACTTTCTTCATCTGTCCATTGAGACCATTGGTTTAGATCGGTAGACCTCTAATCTTCCTTTCTCATTAGAAACACTGAAATAAATTTTGTACAGGGTGAGGTAGGAGGAAACCCCAACCCCACAGCATCAACACCCTCCTCCAACCCCCAAAGGAGACCCCTAAGATTCCTTCGGGATCTTCCAGAAATTCTCTGATTCTGGATTCCGTCACCCATGGGGGTGGGAAGGGATTGGACCAAACTGGGCTGGGGGCAGGGTAGGCAAGGAGGGGCAGCTGTGAGTCAGCTCCAGGCTGGTGTGGAGAAGGGGCCATGCCTCTGGGCAAGCCTCCTCTGAGCTCTATTATCTCAGCCTGGAACAAAGAGGCTGGAAGGGAGAATCCCATTGTTGGCCTCCCTTATGGAAATCTCATTAATCTATTCACCAAGGCTCCCACAGGCCTTTTGTCCCAGGCTTTTTGTCTACTGCTTACAACGGGTGCCCCAGGGGGTCTCTGGCTGCCTGGCAGAGCTTGAACAGGACTGTGCCCCTCCTCTAGGCCCTCTTCCTCATGCCAACCCCCCAGTTACTGCAAGGGGAGAGGAGAGGGAGGGGTAACGAGGGGACTCTGGAAGACTGGTCACCTGTCACAGCCCTGGCACCTACCATACAGGAACCTCTTCCCCCAGTTCTGGGCCAGAGAACAGCCTTCAAAACCTGCCTGGGGGCTGCTCTAGAGCTCACGAGGGGCCTAGGGTGAGTAGGACTCAACACATGTTTAGGGATGAGCCAGAGGATGCCATGGGGTGGCTGCATGATTCTTCCTTCCATGATACCTTTGGTGTGCCAGCCACTGTGTGCCAGCTATGACTCCCAGCTTGAGAGGCAAACCGGACCACATTGGGACCCATGCCTGCAGACTTGATCAGCTAACAGGGAAGAGAAAATAAAGTGTTTCCTCAGAAAGGAGGGAGGGAGGGAAGGAAAGAGAGGAAAAAAGGAAGGAGGGAAGGGAGAAAAGGAACGGAGGGAGGGAGGAAGGGAGGGAGAGAGGGAAGAGAAGAGAGAAAAAAAGGAATGAAAGAGAATGGGAGGGAGGAAGGAAGAAAAAAGAGGATTGGTCAAAAGACAAAATTTCAGGAGGAATATGTTCAAGAGATCTATTGTTCAATATGGTGACTAGAGTTAATAAAAGTGTATTGTATACTTGAAGATTACTGAGAGTAGGCCTGGTGCGGTGGCTCATGCCTGTAATCCTGGCACTTTGGGAGGCCGAGGGAGGCGGATCACCTGAGGTCGGGAGTTTGAGACCAGCCTGGCCAACATGGTGAAACTCCATCTCTACTAAAAATACAAAAATTAGCTGGGTGTAGTGGCGGGTGCCTGTAATCCTAGCTACTTGAGAGGTTGAGGCAGGAGAATCGCTTGAACCCGGAAGGTGGAGGTTGCAGTAAGCTGAGATCGTGCCACTGCACTCCAGCCTGGGCAACAGAGCCAGACTCCATCTCAAAAAAAAAAAAAAAAGAAAGAAAAAGAAAGAAAGAAAAAAAGAAAATTACTGAGAGGAGATTTTAGGTGTTCTCATCACAAATAAGTATAGGAGGGAATGCATATGTTAATTAGCTCAATGTAGCCATTCCACAATGGATACATATTTCGAAACATCATTTTGTATACCATAAATATACCCATTTTTATTTAAAAAAGTAAATTTTAAAATAAAAATATTGTATTACCCTTTTTTTTTTGAGACAGAGTCTCACACTGTCATGTGGGCTGGAGTGCAGTGGTGTAATCTCAGCTCACTGCAGCCTCCCCCTCCCAGGTTCAAGCGATTCTCCTGCCTCAGCCTCCTGAGTAGCTGGGATTACAGGCGCCCACCACCACGCCCAGCTAACTTTTTGTATTTTTAGTAGAGATGGGGTTTCACCATGTTGGCCAGGCTGGTCTCAAACTCCTGACCTCGTGATTCGCCCGCCTTGGCCTCCCAAAGTGCTGGGATTACAGGTGTGAGCCACCGTGCCCAGCCTACCCTCTTTTTTGTTTTTTTGAGACAGAGTCTCACTCTGTTGCCCAGGCTGGAGTGCAGTGGCGTGATCACAGCTCACCACAGCCTCAACTTCCCAGGCTCAAGCGATCCTCCCACCTCAGCCTCCTTAGTAGTTGAGACCACAGGTGCCAGGTACATGCCACCGAGCCTGGCTAATGTTTGTGTTTGTTTGTTTGCTTGCTTGCTTTTGTAGAGACAGAGTTTCACCATGTTGTTCAGATTGGCCTCAAACTCCGGGGATCAGGCAGCCTACCCCCTTCAGCCTCCCAAAGTGATTACAGGCATGAGCACCAACCCCAGCCTGTATTACCCTTAAAACAGAGACAACTGTTGATTTTCTGTGCAAATGAAGAATTACAGGAATAAATATAGTTGACAGATTTTTTTTTTTAAATAAGGTGATATAGCTAAAAAAGAAAAAAGAGGAAAAGAAAGTATGCAGGAGGTTCAGAGACAGCTGAGGTACTGTTCGCTGGGGAGTCAGGAATTCATTTTGCAGCAGTCATGGAGAGCACCACGGCATGGAGGAGACAGCAGGTCCCAGCTAAGAGGTTCCAGGAGAAAGCAAGGAAAGTGCAGAGCTGAGCAGGGAGCGCTGGCACCCACTCCCCACAGCACCTCAGTTAAGCAGGTATTATTTGCAGATAAAACAGTGCCAGACAGATGTGGCTGGCCCCAGGTCACACCATCCTCTGGAGGCGAAGCTGGGACCTGAAAGCAGATCTCCTCCCACTTCCACAGGCTGTGGAAAGGCAAGGATACAAGGCAGGGAGCACCCCCCTGAGCGGGGCATGAGAGCCGAACACTCTCCTTCCCTGTCCCTAAGCTCACTCCTTGGTGGGAGAGGGGATAGAACAGGGGATGAACAGAGGATAGGTGAGCTGTCTGAAGTCTCCTCCCTCTTGTGCACTGATCCCACCCTCTTTCAACAAAGACGCTGTTCCCTCAGTTCCCCCTTCTCCCGCCTGATCCATTTCCATCTCTGCTGGGTCATTCTCATCAGCTCGCAAATATGCTGTTATAGTTCCCGTTTTAGGAAAAAAAGCCCAAAATATATATACATTTTTGAGACAAGGTCTTGCTCTGTTGCCCAGGCTACAGTGCAGTAGTGTGCCCATAGCTCACTGCAGCCTCCACCTCCCAGGCTCAAGCATTCCTCCCACCCCAGTCTCTTGAGCAGCTGGGACTACAGGCACATGCCACCACACCTAGCTAATTTTTTATTTTATTTTATTTTATTTATTTTGAGACAGAGTTTTGCTCTGATGCCCAGACTGGAGTGCAGTGGCACGATCTTGGCTCACCGCAACTTCTGCCTCCTGGATTTAAGTGATTCTCCTGCCTCAGCCTCCTGAGTAGCTGGGATTACAGGTGCCCACCACCACACCCAGCTAATTTTGGCATTTTTAGTAGAGACATGGTTTCTCCATGTTAGCCAGGCTGCTCTTGAACTCCTGACCTCAGGTGATCCACCTGCCTTAGCCTCCCAGAGTGCTGTGATTACAGGCATATGCCACTGTGCCTGGCCCCAAAATAATTTCTGAATCCCCCTTCAGCTACATTCTCTCTCTGCTTGCTTTTACCTTTTCTATGCTACTATTTCCGATTCCTGTCCTTCCATTCGCTCTTGAACCCCTTCCAAGCAGGCATTTATCCCCAACACTCCACTACCTTAGCCTCATAACCACACAGCTGAATCTGATGCTCTGCCCTCCTGTTGCAAAACCAGGGCCCTGTGCTCTCCTGGCTCCTGCTGCCCTCCCCTCCACAGCCTATTTGCTGCCCTCTCATCACCCACTCCCTTCTAAACCCTGCAGACCTGGGGCTCAGTCCTGTGACCTTCTCTTCCCTCTCCATGGTAATTCCTTGCATGATCCCATCCCATCTCCTGGCTTTCACCATCACCTGTGTATTGATGTTTCCTAAACATAGTTCTCCAGCTGAGATTTCTCCCCTGCACTCTGTACTTTATTCAACCTTCTTCCTGACACCTCCACTGGAATATTTAATTGGCATAATTAACATGTCCAAAAATGAAACTCCTGGCTCCCACATCCACAACCTAGCCCTCCTCAGTCTTCCCCATTGCAGGAGGTGGCAGCTGCATCCTTTCTAGTTGCTCAGGCCAGAAACTGCGATATCCTTAACTTCTCTTTCACTCTTCAGAACAGCAAATCAGATTCTTCAATCACTTCTCACCACCTCCAGGGATGCTGTTACCTGGACCACAGCAGCTGCCTCTCTCTCTTTTTTTTTGGTTTGTTTTTCGAGACAGGGTCTCACTTTGCTGCCCAGACTGGAGTGCAGTGGTATGATCGTAGCTCACTGCAGCCTCGACCTCCGGGGCTCAAGAGTCTTCCTACCTCAGCCTCCCAAGCAGTTGGGACCACAGGTGTGGTGGGCCACCACACCCGGCTAAATTTTTAAATTTTTTTGTAGAGATGAGGGTCTCACTGTGTTGCCCAGGCTGGTCTTGAACTCCTGGGCTCAAGCAGTCCTCCCTCCTTGGCCTCCAAAGGGCTGGGATTCCAGGCGTGAGCCACCATGCCCGGCCTCACTTCCATCTCACTTCCCCCTTTCTACATTGTCCTCTCTTTTCTTAAAACAGTTGCCAGTGTAACTCTTGAAAGCATATTCCATAAGTCGTTCTTCCACCAAAAACTTCCGGTGATTCCCATCTGACTCAGAATAAAAGCCAAAGTCCTCTCATTGGTATACAGGGTCCTCATGGTCAGCTTCCATTACCTCTCAGCCTCACCTGCTACCACTGCCCTTCCTCCCTCCCTTCCACACCTGGCCTCCTCGCCGCTCCTCCCACCAAGCTGCCTCCCACCTCAGCACCCCTGCCTCTGCCCTGCCTGGGCTCACACCCTTCCTAGCGTCAGGTCTCTGCTCAGCTGTTGCCTTGGCAGACACTGTCCCCTTCAACCTGATGTTCCCTGCAACACTCATCCATCAGATTATGGAACAACAGGCTGAAGGGGCCAATCCTATTTGTTGCTTTATTGTTTGTGTACCCACTAGAAAGTTCATGAGAGTGGGGACTTTGTTTTGTTCACTGTTATATCCCAAGCACCTAGGACAGTGCCTGGCACAGAGTAAGTTCTCAATAGACTACAGGATGGATGGACAGACAGATGGACAGATGGATGGATGGATGAATGAATGGACAGATGGATAGATGGATGGATGGATGGATGGATGGACAAATGGACAGACGGATGGATGGATCGATGGATGGATGAGCCCAGAGTCTTGAAATGGCCTCTGTGTCCAAATAAAGAAAGCAATCGGGGTGACTAAATTTGAGTCCACATGTGATGGTGAGGGTGGCAAGGGGTGAAGCCAGGGAATCACCTCAGGAATGGATAGGGGAGGGGAGTCCAGAAGGGGAGTTTGTATCTGTGAACACCAGAGGAAAGTGTCCAGTCCCCGAAGGCACCCAACGCAGCCCCACAGAGACTCCACATGGCCTCCTCCTCTTTAAATCTCTCTCCTCCTGTTACCCCCACCCCATTGGGCCTCTGTGGGAGAGGACAAAAGGGGTGCTGAAATTCCCATCAAAGGCCTCTGGACACATGGTAAAGAGATCAGGGCCCTCGGGATCCTGCTTCCTGGAGGTGTGGATGCTGCCCCGCCAGTCTGGCTCCTCTCTGGGGTGGGAGGTGTGGTGAGGGGTATGCTCTGGCCCTGGTCTCCTCGTATGTCAAATGCCACATAGCAGGAGTTCGGCCTGGGAGAAGCTGGCCAAGTGGCCCCCATCTGGGTTCTGTGTGCGCGTGCACACGCTGGCGGGAGGGGACAGCACAGAAATCCCTGCCTGTGTCCACGGTCAGGGCCACAGCCAAGCTGTGACCATCTGTTGTTGTTCTGAGAGGCCAAGCCAGGGGCCCAGCACCCCTGAGGAATAAACTTTGCCTTTCACCCAGCCTTCTAGTGTTTGCAAAGAACTTTCATAGTTATCCATCGTTTTTGTCCTCACAATGTCCCTGCCAGATGGGCATTATTCTTCCCATTTTATAGAAGAGGAAATGGAGACTCAAGTGTGGAAAGAGATTCTCCCAAGGTCATACAAGCTGTAAGAGGGGAAGTGGGACTCAGCCCATGTGTCAGCACCTGCCTACCCCAGCCTAGAGGCGGTGAGGCTCTCCAAGGTGCCTCAAAGCGCCAGGCTTCATTTCAAGCTCAAAATAAGCAGATCTCCAGGGCCAGGCTCTCAGGCACAGCCTCCCACCCATCTCGTGGCTCAGCTCCTGCTCAACCCTCCCCCACCACCCCCTCTTCCAGGAAGCCTTCTTGGACTGACATCCCCAAGGAAGTTCCTTAGATGCCTCAAAGTCCAGAGCTCCCTACAGCCACTTCTTTCCCACTGTGGCTGCCATGCTGTCCCTGAATGTTTATCTCCTCTGTGGTCCAGGACCTCTTGAGGGCAGCCCAGTCACCCAAAGGAACAGATGATTCTCTTAACTGCCGATGGCCCACACTGCATTTCCCTTCGAGGCAGCCCAGCAACCTGGGGAAGGAACACAGTGTGGTGAGAAGAGTCCTGCCCAAGGCCACCAGCCAAAAAGGGGCAGAATTGGCACTTGCACCCAAGGACTTTGCTTCAGCCCTGAACACAGCCTCTAATCCTGTACTGTCCAATGACAGCCACTAGCCCCATGTAACTATTTAAATTTGCAGTCATTAAAATTTATAAAATAAAAATTTTACTTCCTCAGTGGTACTAGCCACATTCCGTATGTTCAACAGCCACATGAGGAAGTGGCCACCATAGTAGACATCACAGACCCGGAACCTCTCCATCACCACAGAAAGTCTGTCAGATGGAGCTGCTCTATCTTGAACTTCCATGGAGTCTTGCTTCTTAAGGTCTTCAGGTAGACTTCCTTCGGATTTAGATTCTTTTTGTTGTTGTTTTCTTTTTTTAAGACAGAGTTTCATTCTTGTGACCCAGGCTGGAGTGCAGTGGCGTGATCTCCGTTCATTGCAACCTCCACCTCCTGGGTTCAAGTGATTGATTCTCCTGCCTCAGCCTCCCGAGTAGCTGGGATTACAGGGGTGCTCCACCATACCTGGCTAATTTTTGTATTTTTAGTAGATTTTAGCTAAATTTTGTATTTCCAGGCTGGGTGAAAGGGAAAGTTTATTCCTCAAGGGTGCTGCCTGGCCTGGCCTCTCAGAACAACAGTTTTTGTATTTTGTATTTTTAGTAGGGTTTCACCATGTTAGCCATGCTGGTCTCGAACTCCTGACCTGGCGATCCACCTACCTCGGCCTCCCAAAGTGCTGGGATTACAGGAGTGAGCCCTGCAGACCTCTTTCCCTAGGATTCCCAGGCAGTTTTACAGCTACCCTGGGCTTTCCGTAGAACCAGGGGAGGGAGGATGGGCTAGCTGAGTCAACTCCCTCCGCCCCAGCCCCGCCTGTCTGCCCTGCCTCGGGAGAGGAGGGACAGGCTGAAGAGGAGAGGAAGGTAGGACAGGGCACTTTGTCATCTGGCCTTTGGGCCTCGCTGCCCTCCCCCATCAGTTGCTCAACACCCCTCCCCCACCCTGCCCACCATCCTCATCCTCATCCAATCCCAAGGACAGATGGGGGCCAGCAGAGAGGGAGAAACATGACCACAGTGAAAGCACTCTCAAGTGGTAACACAGTCCTGGGGTCACAGCTGTGTCCCCAGAGGCCTGGTCAGTCTCTCATGTCCGGCCTTGATGTCTGGCCAGATCTGGGCTAAAGTGAGTCTCACTTGGTAGGGGGTGGATACTTCGGAATCCTAAGGAGAGATGGAGGAATCTGTTGGTGCCAGATTATTCCAGCAGACACACCCCAGTTAGAAATGCAGTCATTCTTGTGGTCGCTCATCCATCCATCCATTCAACACACATTGATTAAGCCCCCACCATGTCATGATGTAATAGGAGGACGTAGAGGTGGGCAGTGGACTCCCTAACTGGATTGACCAGGTAGGGACATGACTGGTGGGCTTAATCCTTGTCCCAGGCTAGATGAAGGTCCTTTGTCTCTGCCCAGTGGTCTGAGCAGGGTGGACACCTCCAGCCCCCTCCCCTCAGGCACACAGGCGGGCGGGTGGGTGCGCAGACACACACGCTCCCAGCTGCTGCCAGAAACCCCCCTCCTGTGGTCTCTCTGGCCAATCACAGCACTGAGGAGTAAGTCCCACTGTCCGGTGGCCCCCAGGGAGTGTATTAGCACATTTGAACCGCTCAACCTGCAACTGACAAAGCCTGGGGCCTTGGGAGGGGACACAGCAGGAGGGGTTGGGGCCTGTGGGGAGCTCTCCTCCCCTCTGCCTCTCATGGGGAAGCTCAGGACTAGATTAAGCATTCTGGGGCACAGAGGAATTTGGGGGCCCCAGCTCCAGCCGTGAATAAGCGATCCATAAAATCCCAATTTACACACTCACTGATCAAACAGCCCATCTACTACCCCAGGAGGTTGGGGGTGGCTCCTGGGCCTCCCCTGCTCTCAAAGAAGGTCCAGGGGAGCTGGGAACTGGACACAGGACACAGGCTCCCAGTGTTTTCCCTGCAGACTCAGTCCCATTCCCAATCCCCCTGAGGGGCATCCATGCCAAGGGCGTGGGGCCTGCCGGTACCCCCGGTGAGCTGGCTGCCTTGGGATGGGCTGGGGGGCTGCCTCAGTCAGGCAGCCATCTTTGTCCACCCTCTATGAATAACAGCTCCTTTTTTCTCTTGTGTTGCCCTGGGGCCGCCAGGCCTGACTCCAACCTCATCAGATCTGCTAATCACTTTTCCAGCTCTCCTCTCCTCCCCGCCCCCTTCTTCCCAATAGTCCCTCCACGTTTTCTCTGGACCCTCCGCCAGGAGCTGCCCTGGGATGCTCAGAGCGCCTTCCTTCCACAGTCTCATCTCACCCCAAAGCTAGGCAATATCCAGGAACACAAGGGGCTCCAGGCTGGTACTGTGTCCCCAGCCCATCTTCTGGGAGACAGCAGGGTGAGAGAAATAGCCTTGTTATTACCCTAGTCCCTGCCACCAAAGAAAACACAATGCGTCTCCCTCTTGCCTAGGTGTTGTTTGCTCCCCTTGGTTAGGCTGCCTGCAATTTCACCAAGAGAACACCATTTTGGTTAACAAGGATTCTCTTTTAAACCAAATGGAACCTCTGGGAGGCTCCAGGCTGTCAGCCAGTCACACCTCCAGGAGGATTAGCAAGGCTGATTCTCCTTCTCCCTCCCTCCCGCTCAAGGTGAGCTGCATGGGCCATTAGAAGTATTCATGGAAGCCAGGGAAAGCGAGTCGTTGGGGCTGGGAATTGCCCACCACACCGCACCCCACTTCTCACTACACGTGAGCTATGTTGGAACAGGTCAGAGACGGATGTCAGCTCCTGGGCCCTGGGGGAAGAAAGGAGTAAGGGCTGCCCTGTCTGTGCTTCCCAGAGGCCACTGCACACTGGGCTGGGGGCTGGATCTCAATTGTCTCATTCAGTCCCCTCAGCAGACTGGTGGGAGGATTGTGGTGTGAGCCTGTACTATGGTGAGACACACCCCTTCCCTTCTCCCCTTTCTCCACTTCACTGGCTGCTCCAGGTACGCCACCCCAATAGAGTCTGGACCCATCAGTAACCTGGTTAAGGCAGATGTCTGAAGGGCGCCCTGAAAGACTGACCCACAGCTTGCAGGGGTCTCTGAGCCCACTCTAGCAAGCCCTTCCTCCCTCCCATGACTCAGGCATTGCAGGGCGTGAGCACTGGCCTCAGAGTCAGCCTCTGAGATGTGGGACAATGTCTTGATCTGTTTCCTCCATTGTGAAATGGGAGGTGGAGAGGCAGCATCCCCCTCACAGGCTGGCCTGAGGGCAGTGAAGGAGAGGTGGAACTTTCATGACTAGCTGGAGGGGCCACCTGTGCAGGACCCGGGGCAGGCTCCAACTCGCTCCTAGAGACTGGCTAGGTGCAGTGGCCTGGGAAAGAGGTAGGGGCTGCTCTCCAGGCCCAGAAGGACCCCACTGATTTGACAGAGGACTCCAAAGAGAGAACACAATCCTGGAGCTGCCTGCGGGGCCCCAGAAGAGCACTGCCTTGCAGGAGTGAGTTCCCTGTCCTGCCCTGACCAGCTGACCATCGCTGAAAATGCAGTCCCTAGCCACAGCTTCCCAGGATGTCCTCGCCTGACCCCTGGCTGCTCTGAGCTGTGTCCTGGGACATCTGTCACCAGCCTCTCCTCTGCTCATAGAGGGAGGAGCACCAGGACCCTCCCATGACCCTCCCAGCCCACCCTCTGCCACTTAGAAACTGCCAGGCAGGTCTCATGTTCCTGCTTCAGGTCCCTCTTGACAGCCCACTGTGCCCAGACGTAACTTCATCTTAAGCCACATTCTTCACTGTCCCCGGAAATCTTAAGAGGAGATACAGGAATCTAGGTGAGAATCTTAGGACTCTCTGGGAGGGTCCACAGAGACCTCAGACTCAACACGCCCAGGGAAAATATCTCCACTTCCTCTCTCCAGATTCCATCTCTTCAGCTAGGCTGGAAACCTAGGATCCCCTGTGTCTGTCTCTCCAGCCTCCACTCATCTAGCGGGTCATGAAGTCAGGTTAACACTCTCTCTCTAAAACAACCCACAGCTCTCATGTTCCCCACAACAGCTGGCCCCACCTCTGAACTCTGTCTCTGTTCTCTGCTCTCCTAATCCTTCTTCTGTATAGATGCTAGGATGGTCTTTATGTCTAAAACAGAATCAGCCTCCTACCAAGCACAGAGACGAGATGCTAAACTCTTCAGCCTGGCACCAGAGGTGGATGTGTCTGTCCTTCCTTCCAGCTTTAGGCCCCTTCCAGCTCCTCCAGTCACATCAGCCCATTCTTTCTGAGGCTGTTCCTGTCTCCCTCTTTGGTGCCCCAAAGCATGTCCTGGGCATTTCTGCCCTTGCACTCCAATGCCCAATTTAGAGGTGACATCACTTGTTAACTGGGTTCCCATTCCCTCCGCTGCTCAGTCAGCCCGTCTGCCAGCCCTGGTGCAAGCAGCTCTCCAGCCCTTTCTGCAGCTCTCTCTCTACCCTGACCTGCCCCTTCCCAAAGTCCCCTCCCTCAGAAAACACTCCCTGACACACAGTGGTAGAAAGAGCAGGGCCACTGGGAACGAGGATGACCTGGACTTTTTTTTTTTTTGAGACGGAGTCTCGCTGTGTCTCCCAGGCTGGAGTGCAGTGGGAGACGCCATTCTCCCGCCTCAGCCTCCCAAGTAGCTGAGACTACAGGCGCCCGCCACCACGCCCGGCTAGTTTTTTGTATTTTTAGTAGAGACGGGGTTTCACCATGTTAGCCAGGATAGTCTCATGATCCACCCGCCTCGGCCTCCCAAAGTGCTGGAATTACAGGCTTGAGCCACCGCGCCCGGCCTGACCTGGACTTTTTAATGATCGTCATGACTTTTTGTCAGCAATTATTTTTTAAAAAGACGACTTGCTTTTTCATTGAGGAACAGGGATTTGCAGTTATCTCTGCGCTTTGTCCTGTCTGGAGTCAGTTCCCCTCCCTGAGGCTCTGTTTCTTGCACACAATGCAGCCTTGCACCTGTGCACTCAGTGCACTGAGGAGAGGGCACAGGTGCTCGGTGGAGACCACTGTGGGCTGTCGTCTGTCCACTTGGGGCGCCCCTGTGATCTGGGGCTGGCAAGGTCCTTCCAGTGCCTGTTTCCTCTTGGGTCTGCATCTGGGGCTCCTCTTGGC